TTGCTAGTCCCCACATCGCTGAGCCGCCTAGCTTTCCTCCGGCGTTGAGAAAGATCTGAGCTGCTGGGAGGCCGGTGGGGGTGTTGAGGATGCTTTCGTAGTCTGTGAGACAGAAGCACATTGATATAGTCAGGATCCAGCCGAGTATGCCGGATACTATCACGGCCCATTGGATAGCTAGGGGGCCTAGGGCTGCTGCATTGTGGGTTTCTTCGGACATGCTGGGACTATGTGTGAGCAGGTCTGGGTATTGGCATAGATGTAAGGTAGACTTACTGTGTGGTTCCGTCGTAGTCGGTCATTGTCCATGCAACTGAGATGAAGCCTAGTAGGAAGGAGAATACCTTTGATCCCCAACCAGATCCATCTGTGAAATGGGTGAATACCCATGTAGCTGGTTGCTTCTCCGGCGTGAACCATAACAGGGAGAAGCAGATACAGAAAGTCGCGGCAACTAGTTGGTCAGCTGTGTTCTAACTACTCCAGAAAATGACATACTGTTGATCGGAGCGAACCAAAGGAAGATCTGGTGCAGAGACTTGGTGGTCATTGAGCAGATCACACCCAGAAGGCAGAGCAGTATCACAGACAAGAGCACCGTATCCAATGCAGAACTGTCCCGTTAGCTAAGATAGTCAGCAGACTACGGGCGATGACCTACGGTGAGTATGAATACTCCCCATCCACCAGCTCCGAATTCATACTCGCGCAAGCAAGTAACATCTGGCTGACAGTATAGGCGACACTGGACACTCCCGCCGTCTGTCCGAGGAGGTTACACCACCCCTGTACCCAGGAGAAAATGGGCACATGTTCGTCTGGAACTACATGCTTTGTAACGAAGTACATGCCCCCGGCAGTAGGGTAAGCAGAGACCAGCTCTGCCACCGAGCTGCCGATACACAAGGCCATACAGGAGCCCACGAACCAACACCATACTGCGGTTGCTGGGCCTCCTGCAGCCAGGGGAGCGCCGAAAGTAGCGGGCACTGAGCCTAAGATGCCTAGGATGGAGATGGCATAAGAGACAGTGGACCATTTTGAGAATTCGCGTTTCAATTCCTGGACTGTCAGGCACCAGATGGTGGATACAGGCGCTTGGACCATACCTGTTTATAGCCAATGCGGGCTAAAAGAAGCTCGTCATTGTCGTGGATGGTAGCCATCGCACTGGGAGTGTGGATATAGTTTTACCTAGAAATAAATGAAGCAACAAGGGCGAGTGGGTGGTTCGAATGCGATATTCAGGGTAGTTCTGTAGATTCCGACCAGTGATCGTCGGGATCAGTCGATGCGGAACTTCAACCGCTCAGTTGCCGATCAAGAGTCGGTGAGAACCCCGCGAGGGTTACCACGAGCACTGGCGATGATTCTGGGTGATTCGGAGGGTTAACAATAGAATGAAGAGATTAGTAGACATCTAACATGGTGATCATGAAATTGGATGAAGTTCCATCACTAATCGGAAGGAATTAGACATCTAGCAGAAGTGGCTGGGAGGGGGGCAGATGCAATGAGATGCATTCTTATCGGGGCCGGACTGATAAATCCCAGCAAGGGCATCCCTACCTCTAATCTGAAGATAACTTGTCTCAAGAATAATTACATTCATGGCATCTCGACCGGAGGTAATTTCACTAAGGTCCGACTCTCGGTTACTTGAAAGGAATGCTACGCTAATATCCAGGTGTATGATTGAAGTAATAGCTCCTTGGGTTCGGAACGGCTGCGTTGAGACGTGTAGATGTCCTGGAGGGCATCCACGTATAATAGCGTATGGAGTCTATAGCGACAAACGATTAGCAGTGGCTTAACGCTCATTCATGGCTCCCAATTTAGCTCAACCTAGTACTCATACCTTATGTTCATGGCATGGAAATCGAAGGACTAGTATATCTCCAAGATGGCTGAAGCTGCTGGCTGCAGCAGGTGGACGAATTATCAGAACACGCTGCGTGTACATAAACATTTAATAAATCCAATGCGGCGCAGTGTCTGTGATCACATACCCACAAAGGCTGGCTTGTGTCTTCACAGGAATACAACTCTTTACGAAACGATGATAACTTTCATATACCAGGGTGCACCATATGCAATTCATCGAAATAGATGACCCAGACATCGCAGCAAGATAAACGCCAACTTGTATAAGACATCTTGACACGATATAACCCCGTACTTATTTTAATCACTCAATCAAAAAGGATCCGACTGGCCATTCTTCTTCTGTAACTTCCCAATATGCAGCATCCTCCAATCGTCTTGTCGATATCCCCTCGACAGATACAGCGTGGCTGGGCTCATCAGGCCAGCAATTTTCTCTCTCAGGCCAAAGTCGCAGCAGTCCAACCCTACGATAGCGATGCAGTCCCCCACTATTGGCTTCAGTTCTTGTGTGTGGCTGTAGAATGAGAAGATAGAGTCGTGGCCTGAGAGTTTCAGTCACTTTTGCAACCTGGATCAGTGTGAACTCCACGCTGCTGCTCGGAAAGATGACAGAGCCGCTGGTTTCCGTTGATTCGAGGTGTTCAGGCCTCATCAGAGCAATCTGTGTTAGCTCTCTCGTACTTTCTAACGGACCAAGTTGCGTTAGAACTCTTTGTGCTAAACTCACGGGATTCCATCTAAATTTCGAATAGCTGCCGGGTCTAAGACAGACGTGCCGATACGGTGCTTCCAGGACAAGCTCCGCGCCTTCTACGTGGCCAAAAATGTCGTGAGACTTGCGGTAAACCTGGCAATGGACAACCCTTGCAAGGTAGGTCATATAGGAACGAGCGATTGGCGAGGGCCACTTCAAACTGATATATGCGTCGGCTCCTATCCAGCTCCACGACGGCCCGCGCTCGCTTGAAGGGACAGTCGTGGGAGCAGGTATTCCCGAACCTTGACAATGGCGAATGCTCCATAGCAAGCCAAATAGGAGGTCACCCCTCCACAATCCCGCGCAGTACTGTTCTTTCAAGTGAGCATGGAACGACTCGGCCAATGCCCCGATCGCCGGCAGGCGATCCTTTTCGAATGTGAGATTTCGTGCTGTAAAATCTTCTAGCAGCTGAAACCAGGTTTCGTAAGCTGATCGCTTGGAACCTGGTGTGTGTTTGTCATCTGGCTCATCTAGGGTAAATAACTGTGGTTCCGGAAACTCGGTGTCATATCTATTGACGTCTCTCGATGGTTCTCTAGCCCTCCCGGCGCGGCATCTCCAAACCATCTCTTCTTTCGTGTAATACAAGAGTCTTCTCGACAGTAGCTCCTCTTGGAGTGTCCAGCCTCTGGTGGCCCAGCGCGAATGCCGTATCGGCTCCCGGTGAAAAGGAAGCCTACAACTCCGAAAGACGACAGGGTCAGCGCGAGAACCGTCATTGACGCTACCGCTAACTTGGTAGTATCGTCCACGCCAAGGAAAAGTGCAGCTAAAGTACGGTGCCCTCTTATCGAGAAACCCGTCGTTGGCTGATTCTGCGCTTGTGGCGGCAATTGTGACAGCTGCATGCCTATAGACGCTGCTCATCTTCGAAGCCTCGGCTTCCCAGTCGCTAGAATCATCTTGAAAGATACATAGAGAGTCGATCCACAAGTAACGGACCCCAAGGGCTCTTGTCACAAGGATGGCGTCCCGTAGAGTAGATGGGAAAAGCTTTAAAGACCGTCCTCTGCGGAGGCCGTCGAAAGACGAGGCGTTGAGAGTAAATCTGGAATAACCGCCCCAACAATAGCTCAGAGCCACCCATCTCCCAGTTTCGCCGACACTACTGACATGTAAATGAGGCTTTCTGCGCGAGCTTCCAACATCAATAACGCGTGTGGGGAAGAAAGGCGGTTTGTCTTCGCGCTTATTACACTCTATATGTCCCCTGTAGCATTTACGTAGCCATTTGGCAGCTAGCGAGAGACACCTTTCAGAGCGCAGATCAAAGGGCAATGCATTCCGAGGGAGACCTTCAAGGAGAAATGTGTCCTCCTCTGGGATATTTGCATCTTGTCGACGTTAACTTTGGACTCAAGGCCATCGAATTTCCGGGAACCTAACTCTTTGCAATACGTATTTCGAACTCTGCGATCACTCGATCTCGTCTGCGAACTAAAGCCGGGATCGCTGACTTTTGATGATTACCCATAGGTAAAATGAATAATCGGAGGTCATCAGATTTCCAATCTTTGTGGATGACAAAGTATAGCGGCCCTTTGTATACCTTACACGCGCATGCATACGTTTCATGGCATGCAGGTAATTTCTCATGGGATACTTCGCTGTACGATTGTTGAGACCGGAAGTGGCAATGATGTGCCCAAATCGTCCTGCAAAACTTACATCCGGTTATCGCGGCATCTTGAAGAGCGTTAATGCTAGAATGGTGAGGCTGGATTTCTGTGGAATATACTTGATGCAGAATCTCATGCGTGGTAGCTTTTGAATTGTGGTAGGATTGCAAGAGGTCTCGGAAGTCGATGTTCTGACAGGGACCGCATAACTCCATCTTCATCCAGGAAATTCACGATGAAGTAAGTCCTCATTGAATTCTATTACAACATGACACGGATGTCTGATTTGGAACACTCATCGTGTCAAAGAACAGGTCTTTCCGAGGGATGCCACTGGATAAACGTTCCAACATAAAAAGCAATAATGGTTAACAATGAAGAGTTGGGCAGATACAACACAGTGCGGGGTAAATAATTTCTGCTGTTCGTATCAAACCTTTTTGACTGATCCTTCCCACCTATCAGAGTATTCTACTCTCTCAGCAGAATATGTGGGATACTATAGAGGCCTTAATATGTAGAACCTATGATACGGTTTAGGAAACTGCTGAAGAATAAAGGTCAATAGTGTACCTTCATAGTTGACTGTACCTGAGTCCGGGCATCGACATAGACCATCAGTGCCAAAGATGTGGTCGCTGAATAAGCAGGCGCTAGGCCGAGAGGGGGAAGCGGCCAAGGCCACGGGTTCTCCTCCGACGAGGAAGTGTTTAGGTGGTCAGTTGCGATTAATTGCTATACTTCCCCTTTTCTTGGTGCAAACCCTTCCCGGTTGTCGTCTTGCAGCATTCAGTGATGGTCCGTGGCTGACAGGGTTTCTCTTCGCCGGTGATCGATCCCTCTGTCCCCTCGTTCACATTCGTTGATTTGCTTCCCCCGCGTTATGAAGCACTATGGCCGACCCCAACATGTATCATACCTACGGCCAGGCTCCGGTGCCTGGTGAAAACCCCTCCGATCCCAATCAAATGGCATACCAGGTGCCTCCGCAAGGCTATCCTGCCGCTGGAGTTCCTCCCGGCCCTTCGCCTCCCCAGCCCGGTGCTGCGTACGGAGTTCCTAGCCCTAATCAACAATGGCCCGCCTATGGCTCTCCCCCGCCAGCACAGCAGCCTCTGCAACAACCACCGTCACAATTCGCATACCAAGCCGATCCGCAAGCTGCGGCGGGTGCCCCTGTGGACCCCGGAATGGCTGGGCTAGCGTCCCAGATGAGTGGTTTGGGAATAATGGGAGGTGAAGGAGGAGCGGCCCGGTCAAGCAAGAAGAAGCATCGGCATGCGCACCATGAGATTGCTGGTGCTTCGGCATCCGTCGCGCAACCCTTCGCAGCTGCTCCCCAGGACCCCATGCAGCCAACCTCGCAGTTCCTCAACACCGGCTTGAACCAAGCACCTCGTCCCATCTCGCCCGCCGCGAGCATCCCCGCCCCCGTGAACCCAGCGTTCGGAGGTGGTGCCGGTGCAGTTCCGACACAAGGGAAGGTCGATCCGGAGCAGATTCCCAGCATTCCCCGGTCTCGCGATATACCTGCGCAATACTACTTCAATCATGTGTACCCGACGATGGAGCGGCATCTTCCTCCTCCGGCGGCGGTTCCATTCGTCGCCCACGACCAGGGCAATTCGTCCCCCAAGTACGCCCGTCTCACCTTGAACAACATCCCATCCACCTCCGACTTCCTCTCCTCGACGGGCCTTCCTCTGGGCATGGTATTGCAGCCGTTGGCGCGCCTAGACGGTGAACAGCCGATCCCGGTGCTGGACTTTGGCGACGCTGGACCGCCGCGGTGCCGCCGGTGCAGAGCGTATATCAATCCCTTCATGTCGTTCCGCTCCGGCGGAAACAAGTTTGTTTGTAACATGTGCACATTCCCCAACGATGTGCCGCCAGAATACTTTGCCCCGCTGGACCCGTCCGGCTCGCGCATCGACCGCATGCAGCGTCCGGAGCTGATGATGGGAACCGTGGAGTTCTTGGTGCCGAAGGATTACTGGAATAAGGAGCCTGTTGGTCTTCAGTGGCTGTTCTTGATTGATGTCAGCCAGGAGTCGGTGAACAAGGGTTTCCTGAAGGGCGTGTGCAAGGGTATCATGGAAGCGTTGTACAGCGAAGAGACGGAGAATCCCGAGGATGAGGCTCCCTCAAGGCGGATACCTGATGGCGCCAAGGTTGGCATTGTCACTTATGACAAGGAGGTGCACTTCTACAACCTTAGTGTAGGTTCTCGAATCATCCCCTGTCGCTACTAAGCTTACAGTTCCAGGCACAACTCGACCAGGCACAGATGATGGTGATGACCGATTTGGAGGAGCCGTTCGTCCCTCTCAGCGAGGGACTGTTTGTTGACCCCTACGAATCCAAGTGCGTCTCTTACACGATCGTGGTTGAACTATGCAACTAACAAGTCTAGGGACGTCATCACCTCTTTGCTGCAGCGCATCCCGACCATCTTCTCTCATGTCAAGAACCCACAGCCAGCCTTGCTGCCCGCCCTTAACGCGGCATTGTCTGCCCTGAGACCAACTGGCGGTAAGATCGTGGGCACGATCGCTAGCCTGCCCACTTGGGGCCCTGGTGCGCTGTCCCTACGGGACGACCCCAAGGTCCACGGCACCGATGCGGAGAGGAAGCTGTTCACGACCGAGCATGCAGGATGGCGTGAGACGGCCGGGCATCTGGCCGAAGCTGGAATCGGACTGGACATGTTTATCGCAGCACCGAGCGGAACATACATGGACGTTGCTACGATTGGTGAGTTGACACGTGCTATCCCTGCCTGACTACGCTAACGTTGGCAGGCCACGTCCCTGAGGTAACCGGCGGTGAGACCTTTTTCTACCCGAACTTCCACGCACCTCGCGATATCCGCAAGCTCTCGAAAGAATTGGCGCATGCGATCACGCGGGAGACGGGCTACCAGGCCCTGATGAAGGTCCGTTGTTCGAATGGACTGCAGGTGTCAGGCTATCATGGCAACTTTGTCCAGCACACATTCGGAGCTGACCTCGAGATCGGAGCCATCGACGCCGACAAGGCTATCGGAGTGGTGTTCAGCTACGATGGAAAGCTCGACCCGAAGCTGGATGCCCACTTCCAGGCGGCCTTGCTGTATACTTCGGCTAATGGCCAGCGTCGGGTGCGGTGCATCAACACCGTAGCTGCAGTAAATGAGGGTGGCATGGAGACGATGAAGTTTGTGGATCAAGACGCAGTGGTCGCTATGGTGGCCAAGGATGGTATGTTTGCTCTGTCGGCAGGAATGACAAATGCTAATGAGAACTACAGCGGCCTCCAAGACCCTAGACAAGTCCCTCAAGGACATCCGGGCTAGCGTGTCCGAGAAGACGGTGGACATCTTCAGCGGATACCGCAAGATCTTCTCCGGATCTCATCCTCCCGGACAATTGGTGTTGCCGGAGAACCTGAAGGAGTTCTCGATGTACATGCTCAGCCTGATCAAGTCGCGGGCTATCAAAGGTAAGACCGCTCAATTCCCCTTTCGCTCACCGTCAATCGGAGAAACACGGGTGTCTGACAGCATGCAGGCGGACAAGAGGCGTCGGACCGACGCATCCACGACATGCGGATGCTGCGGTCCATCGGGTGCACGGAGCTGTCACTGTACCTGTACCCCCGCATTATTCCGATCCACAACATGCAGCCGACCGACGGATTCCCCAACGAACAGGGACAACTGCAAGTGCCCCCCTCGCTGCGGGCCAGCTTCTCCAAAATTGAGGAAGGCGGGGCGTACCTGGTGGACAACGGGCAGCAGTGCCTGTTGTGGCTGCACTCACATGTGTCGCCCAACCTCCTGGAGGACCTGTTTGGCGAGGGCCAGACGTCGCTGCAGGGGTTGAGTCCACAGACCTCGACGATCCCAGTGCTGGAGACGCATTTGAACGCGCAGGTGCGCAATTTACTGCAATACTTCTCAACGATCCGGGGATCCAAGGCCGTGACGATCCAGCTGGCGCGGCAGGGTCTAGACGGGGCGGAGTACGAGTTTGCGCGGATGCTGGTAGAGGACCGCAACAACGAGGCGCAGAGCTCGGTAGACTGGCTGGTGCACATTCACCGGCAAATCAACCTAGAGCTGGCGGGGCATCGCAAACGCGAGGACACCGCGGGGGAGGGGGGATTGACGAGTTTGGCTGGTCTCCGAGCGCCATACTGGTAGGATAGAAGGGAGGGGGGCGGGGGGGTTGACTACAGGGTACAGGAAACATTTCTACACATATTTTGGTTCAAGAGAAAGAATTTGGAAGAGAGGGGGGTTTGTTCCAGAAGCGGCAGTGACTTGCAATATACCACGGTTGAGAAGAGCGTTGACAGAAAGGGTTCAGTTCCGTTCAGTTTGGATTCTTGGAATCCTTTTCAGGGTCTTTTTCTTTCTCACGATCAGACAATGCCCAGGAAGCAGCAGTAGCAGTAGCAGTAAGCAGTAGTAAGTAGAAAAAGGCAGGTATGGCGTAATAGTAGATTGGTGTATGCGCAAGTGTCTGTGCCACCACAATCACACCATGTAGAGAGAAAAAAGACGTACAGTAAAGAGGCAACACCTTCCCAAAGAAGATAGACACACGAGAAATCCAAGAAGAGGGGGGCAATGAGGGGATAAGAATTCTTAGCAGGAGGGGAAGAAAGAAAGAGAAGACCACAAAATCTAGATGGCACAACACAACGTTCTAGACTTTCCATCCACCCAAATCGAAGACATTTTTTCTCTACAAGGAAAAAAAAGAAGAAAATCGGGAAAAAAGCAGAATAAGGTCGGACTAGGTTCGGAGACTAGAATTAGTTAGGAGTTAGTTAGTGGGTGAGTGGTGGCCTAAGCACAGCACAGCACTTCTCGTCCGATGAACAGTGTGTACTATGTGTGGTTCATTCTCCACCGGGAAGGTGAGTGAACTGGGATTGCGTAGGCATTGATTGTCGTTGGTGGAATACACCACACGGATAATGGATTGATTACTCAGTTCTTCTCGGACGAGCACTCGAGCGAAAAAGAACAGGCAAGGCAGGACAGACGAGCAAGCGAAGAATTCCGATCCGTGGAATTGGGGGGAGTGGGTGGAAGAAGACAGTGCGTTCTTTTTCTATTCGCCTCATTGCCATTGCCATTGGACTGGGGATTGACTGGAAGTTCTTTGATCCACACCAGTCAAATCAGTCAAAATTGACTTGACTGACTGGTCTGGTTCCGAGACAGAGAGAGTCTGGAACGGTGCAGGGCTTGTGGGCACACACTAGTTTATTACTAATGGGTGTTATAACCACGCGTCGGGATAGGCGGTGGATGTATTTCCACGGCATCCGAGAGCTGGTACACTACTTTGACTTTTTTGGGCCCAGGGAAAGGCGAACTTGGGGTTTTGTGGAGTGTCAAGTCAATGAATGGATGGATGGATGAAAGAAGGGAGTTGGGTCGGTAGGTAGCTGCCATACTGTGTGTGCTGGGTTGTGGTTAGGGGGAAAAGGGAGTATTATTGAATGCCTATTTTTGGGATCAATATGAATTAGTTACTTGACTCCGTACTATGGCTAAGATTTCATTGTTAGTATTGGGATGGGATTAGCATGGAATTTGAAAGAAATGAGAGATTCTAGACAAGTATCTATTATGTATCTAGTGGATGGATCGAGGTCTAGATGTGGTGAATATACTAGTCAGTGGACAAGGGACAAGGTAGTACTACGTAGTTAGTAGGTGGTGATGAGTGTATTCCAACAGTATAGTACTGTAGAGGGTACACACCCACTGCAGGCGCTGTCAGCACCCACACCACCCCTTCCACAATACTCCATCAACTAACTCCCTACGGAGTAGTTGAACGGAATCTGCGTATGGCAGATGGCAGTGGATTCCGTCTCGTGGCGTCTCCAGGAATTTCTTCTCCACCTGCGCCCAACTTCCAGCACAACTTGGAAATGAGCGAAAAGGCAAAAAGGAAAAAAAAAATCAAAATGCATTTCATGGCTCGCCAGGGACAATCCAATCCACGTCAGTGGCCATGTGGACCCCAAAGTCGAACAAACTTTTTACCCCTGCGCCTCTGGCGGCGATTCGTTGAAACGGCCAGGAACAGCAGCAATGGCAGTGGTGACCACTAGCCGATCTCTTCGCCGACGGTTGGATGCCTTGCCGCCGCAAAAAGCTATATAAGGATGCATCTCGCTGCACCTTTTGCTCTTCTATCCATCAGCAAATCCACTGACACTCTCTTGATCAGCTTTGTCTGACCTGTCATTCTCTCTCTTTTTTTGATACATCTGATATTAGTCTGTCGATCAGACTAGTCTGCCTTCCTTTTAGTCCTCTCTCTTTTGGACTTTACCAACTACTTCGTTCTTCTTGAACAATCACAACAAGTCAATCCTTTGACTACAAAACAAAATATCTCATCTTTTGAGTCAATCTCTTCTTCTTTCTACAACCATCAAAATGTTCTTCAAGACCATCCTCACTGCCGCTCTGGCCACCGCTGCCACGGCTCTTCCCCACTCCTTCAGCAACAACATGGTTCGTCGCAACGGTACCTCTTCTGGCTCCGGCGGCGTCACCATCTCCAACAACATGAGCAACACTACCGTCTACGCGTGGTCTGTTTCTGATAGAGTCAGTAACATGCATACCCTTTCTGCGGGCGGTGGTAGCTACTCCGAGTCCTGGCAATCCAACGACAACGGTGGTGGTATCTCCATCAAGCTGTCCACCACTGAGAGCCAGTCCGATGTCCTCCAGTTCGAGTACACTCAGGATGGTGACACCATCTACTGGGACATGTCCTGCATCAACCTCGGCAGTGACTCTGCTTTCACCAAGTACGGTTTCTCCGTCACTCCTTCCGAGGAGGGTGACAACTGCCCTTCTGTCAACTGCGAGGCTGGTGACACTGAGTGCGCTGAGGCCTACAACCAGCCCGATGACAACGAGGCTACTCACGGCTGCCCCATTGACACTCAGTTCACTCTTACTCTGGGTTAAACGGATCCCTCAATCAAGCAATCAATCAATTGGGATCTTAAAAAGAGATGGATGGAATGGAGTTTTATCTTTTTTGGAATATACCATGGGTCGGATGGGTTTTGGTTTTGAAAGTTCTCCTGTATAGATTGACTTGATCTGCCTCCTGGATGAGTTGCGCACAAGACAAAGCAGAACAACACAACACTCTCTTTCGTGAATCACACCTACACCTTTTGGTGGATTTCGCTTGCTGTGCTATGCGGTTATGTATGTAGTGATTTGAGATCACATGAATTATGCCTATAGACTTGTTTGATAGAAGAAAAAAAAAATATCTTACAACAAAATACTTTCTCTCATACCTTCTCTCTTTCCTCCCAATTACTTCCATCTACTATTTTCTCCTTCTATGGGGATATGGTATACCTCAGATATACCTATACGAAGTACCTTGTCATATACGAAGTACCTTTCTCAATAATTGACATCGAAATCAATGTCTGACCTGTCAGAAGTATAATCGGTGTAACTGTCCCCTCAATCAATTGACTTAGCACTCACAAGATCAATATTACTCCTCCGGGAGGAATACAACCAACCAACCAACCAACACAATCTCTGTCACACCCCCCCTAATCCCTCCCTCATCCCTACAACTACACACATCGAATAATCTTCTCCAGATTCAAGAATCATATATTCCCCAATTCAAAGTTCTGACAACCCACAACCTAAGTACTATACATGTACACCATCAATCTGACAGATCAAATACCCTAATTCCATACCTACAGATGAACAAGAAAATCAATAGTTTAATAGCTTAATGCAGGAACTATTTACACCTACTTTTTACTTCCGGATTCACCTACTCTACATAGAGTACAAATTCCCCCCCAGGCAAAAACACAAGTGACTCACAGAGTGACCCCTCCCCCTCCCACCTAGACTACTACCTACCAAATTACTTGTGGGAGGCACACAGCACCTACGTAACACCTCCGTGGAGTCAATGGACAGGCAAAAATCAGCCACAGTGGATCCCCCTTGAAGACTCCATCCAAAAGTGGGGCCCGAATCGCAACTGAATGGGCGGCCGGCCGGCGGCGGCGGGCGCCTCTTCCATTTCATCCATTTCCATTTCCCAGCCCCGATTCAGATTCATCGATTGGGCTGGATCCGGGACCCACCCTTAGTTCTTTTTTGTTCTGTCTTTCTTTCTCACCGATGAATTAGTGGTGTTCTAGACTTTCTTTTTCTGCTGTCGCTCGGCTGAGAGGGGAGGAGGGGAGGGGTGCCCGGCTGGCTTCTTTGGGCACATATAGAGAATGACACATAGTGTGGTAATGTACTAACTAAATAACTAACTAGTATACTTGTTTAACTTGTAAGTTGAGCGATGGATGGATGAATGGGGATTATTAATGTAGCGATACAAAGAAGATTTAAGCTGATGAGTTACTGTGTAGAGTATCCCACACGATCAATGTAGGTAGAAAGAGGCAACTTGGCGGGATTCTCATCCTCCCATGTGCCGGTTCTTACCACGCGCACACACGCTTTCTCTTGATCCGTAGATACTGTGTTTGTACTACGGAGTATAATAGGTGGTGTGTGTGATTTGGGTTCTTCAATTCCGTGGTTGGTTGGTTAGTCACCTACGAGGCAAAAAAGAACGGGAAGAAAAATAGAAAATGGAAAAAGAAAGAAAGTGGCGCAATACGTAAGTAAGTACCGAACATACGGAAGAACACGACACACACAAAAAAAGAATAATAATTGGCCAGTTAGGCAGCCATTTAACTTGCACTTTCACAGGAATATTCATGATCACTTACGAGTAGTTACCACATACACACACACACACACACACACACACACACACACACACACATAACATTAAGTGAACAGTATCTAACCGCTGAAGAACCCAACCAAGCAACGATGAACACCAGCCTAAAGCAAAGCGGTAAATTGCCCTGCCCTACCCCCCATTTCTTCAATATGATTGGCCACTACACCAACCTTATCCTTTCATGGGATCCCCCACATCCCATTGGTCAACTGCGGATCCGCCGCATTGTCCATTCAAGATCCAAAGATCGATTCCATCCGTAGTAGTCGTGTCGATTGATTTTTGGGCCGCCTAGTACTGACTATCCACTAAGGTCCACCAGTCAATGGACGTTACGTATGTCATGGTTTGTTCTTAACCCGTTGTGCTTATTCATCCAATGAGAGTGTGTATGTTTGATGGTTGACGTGGTGGGTTGAACTACTGCTGATGCTGATGATGTTGCTGATGGTGACGGTGAGTGGGGGTTAGGTGGGTGTGTTTTGAATGTGTTTCACATTTTACCCCTCCTCCTAGTAAGTAGTAGTACTTCGTCTATTGACTATCACTTGTTGCTTTGGTGGTTGGTGATGGTGTATGTGTGTGTGTGTGGTGCTCTGGATAATGGTCTTTCGAGTTACTACTATTGTAAGTGGTGGTTGTGGTGGGGGGAAATGATTGAGATTATCCGACGGATCCGAGAGAATGCCGCCGTGATGAGGGGAACCCTGCTTGCCTCCTCCTTCTTCTTCTCGTTTATTGTTGCCTTGATGGATATTCCCGGATGGATGATGGATTGATTACTACTGTAGGTGGTTGGGATCACGATCTGGTTGTTTCTACAAAGTTACGGAGTACTTGTTGTGTACCTGTAAGACAAGTATTGCTGCTGCTGGTGCTCGCAATCAAGGAATGGCAGGTTCCACTTCCAATGCTAAGGATTGAAAGCTGACATCTGAGACAGATTGATCTCATTGTGAGTAATCTCACTAGACACTTAGTTAGTTACTGGGTAGATGGATAGATAGATGTATGCCTCAGGCTGAAAGTAATCACTAACAATACTCCCAAGTCTCCAACATATTCAATTAATCAATCCAGGAACATGCTCAACAAATCCTCATTAGTATACCAAGCATAAGCATACTACCACACCAATCTAGACTAGACTAATCAGATGAGAATAATAATACTCCCCCTGATTCACCCATCCCAAAACCCTACCCACCTATGTACTCACTCACTACAAAGCATACACCATATACTTACTGTCTACCAAAAATATCTACACATACAATCTAGATTCTACTACACTATCACCATCTGACACAACTAGTTCCCGCCTCCTGGCCTGGCCTTCGCTAGACCCTAGTTCTAGCCCTTCCAGAAACACCTTCCCGCGACTATTGATTCAACTTCGGGATCTGGGGCAGGAAAAGGGGTAAATAACATACAGTAGTTAGGAATGTGGCTTGATGGGACTAAGACATGTCCATTTATAGCTACAATACTCCGTACTCTGTAGGAAGATATGTGTTAGTGCACGATTTGCGATGAACTACTACTATAATACGACTATGATGGTGTGACAAGTGCCATTGAGTTATGATGCTGACTTGGTAGAGTTGTATACTACCTGCACGCTCGGCGATTGGGGCTAAATTACACAGTGCTATTCGGAGGATTCGGCTGACGGGCCAAAGGTATGGCATGCATCATAAACTACAGTTCATACGTAGGTTTGGTGGGTAAACGGATATTTTAGGTCTAATTTAATCTACTGGTTGGATAATCCAACATCAGACGAACCCTTCGCAGCAGCAGCAGCAGCTAACTCCCCGATACAACAGCCAATCCTTCATAAATCTTCTGCTTTACAGCCAAAAAGCTCCCTCCTCCTCGTCCCAGATTTGTCGACGCCGCAGACTGCGCGGATGCTTCAATCTCAATCCGCCCCGTCGCCGACTTTCGCACTGCCACCATCCCATCGATAAGGAGCGTTCCCTCGCCCCTGAATTCTGCCGTATGTCCGGCCCCTTGCATGATCTTGCGCAAATCTGCCAGCCGCAGGTCGCCCACATGGAGCGGCCGGGTCATGGACCGCGTCCCCGCCGCCATGTTGACCGGCAGCACATCCAGCAGTGGGTATACCTCGGACTTGTCGGCTGATGGTTTGGCCCCCTCTGGGGGTGCGTTCGTCGCGACCTCGGTGCTACCTCCTTCTTCCTTCTTCTCTTCCTCCAACAGTTTCGGCTTCTTGCTGGGGTTCTCTTCCGTAACATCCTCCAGTACGGCCTGTTCCGGCCCCCGCAACTGTGCCGTCAGCGTAACCACGCCCAGGCTGCGTACGTGCTGCCACTTCAAACGCCGGACCAGGGAGTTGCTCAGCTTGACCATCCATGCGTTGGTGTCGACGCTGGCGTCAACAACTTCGCCGTTGACCGGCGTGAAGATGACTGCTGAGTCTGCGGCCGAAACGTCCATTCCGGATTTGGCTGCCAAGAGCTTCTGGCATTCGGTCGCCAATGCAGTCGTCTCCTGTTTCATGCCACCAACCAGGATCAGCTTCCGGGGCTGGATGAGTGGGATGAGCATCTCCAGACTGCGCTTGTCGTGTAGTCCCGTAAAGTCCACGTACGCCAGTCGGGCATTTATTGTCAGTGTAGCCTTTTCGTATATTGCCTTCGCTGGCCCTTCGAAGCTCTGTCCTTCCACCTCATCCTCCGAGGATACCGCGGCATCCACTTCGCCGTCTTCGGCGAGGCTCAGTTCGTCAGCAGTGCTGACATCCCGTTTCTGCGCATCGCCGAGCGCTTGCCGTTTGGCACCACTGCCCGACAAGCGACGTCCGTGGGGCGCTGTTTCGTCCCAGCGACGTTTCTGCCCCAGCTTGGTCTGGGAGTCGGTCCGGCGTTGCTGCATGTCGGCCTCCTCACGTTCCTCGGCACGGAGGTACTCCTCAGGCCGGATGAACTCGCCATACTCGTCCCCCTTCTTCCGCGGTGCCACATACGGGAACATGCGCTCGCGACCTTTCTTGCCTCGTACATCGTAGTCGTAGACATTCTTGCGTCGTAGAAGAATGTTGACGCCAAGGTCTTCATCGCTGAGACCGAGCTTGTTTCGGTTGGAGTGCGCTAAGGAGGTCGAGAAATTCAGTACGCGACCCTGCTGTTCCGTCTCCGAGTCTTCTGATGTAGAGCTTGACCGGTCATCGAGTGCGTCGGCGGCATTGTCAAGATTTTCTTGTCCTCTCGCTTGAGAGGTATCTTGGAGTTGTCGTTTCGTGGCCAGATACTGCTGGTAGAGCAACTGCTCGCCTGCGTCTAAAGGCGCACGTCGCACATCCGTCCAGGAGAGATCCCGGCCTCCGCTGTGTACCTGTTCCAGCATCTCGCCATCCGATGCCTTTTCCAGAGCGACACCATCCTTCCGTTCTTCATACCACTGCCAGATCATACTGCCGAGCGTCTTCCTGTGGGTGCTTTCCTGGCCCTCCGTGATCCTCTCCTTATGCAGAGGCTCCGTCAAAAGCAGCAGGTTGTTGGCACCCTCCGCCACCAAACGAAGAGAGTCCTTCGCGAATCCCCAATCCAGCGACGTATCGGAAGCCAGGATGACCTTGGGCTTCTGGTCGGACAGAATCTTCTCTAATCGCTTCTTGCGTTCCAAGATTCGGAGATGTTTGAATGTAAAAGGCCCCACGCCCTTCCCTTCTGCCTTGCCCTGATTCTGACCTGCACGTTGGCCTTCTGTATTTGACTGACCAGTCGCTGCATCCACACCCTCGGCCGCCTCAAACTCTCGCACGATATTCTCGTCCATCCACTCCAACATACTCCTTGCCAGTCGCATCGTAGTATTAGCTTTGCGGCCGGCCAGGTATAGTCCGGCTCCTTTCAGTACATCGTCACCCTGGCCAGAGCCTGCCGCATCGCGCCAGGCATGTTCCAATGCATAAGCGAGCTCCAGCACACGAGCGCTAGTATCCGTAGGAATCAGCACTGTACCACCCTTGGCGATGGTGCTCCGAATCATGTCCAGCAGCAAGTCATCCCGTTTCTTTCTGCCTCCGGGCAGCGCGAACCGTTCACCTCCCCTGGTGCTGCATACCAGCGCCGTAGGTTTGCGCAGCTGCTCAATGACCTCCGTTCCACTGGCACCGGAGCCACCAAACCAGGCAGCGCCCGCGACGACGCTCTCTCGAGCTTGGTTCCAGTCGACCGCGTAGACAATTGACTCCATGCCATGTTGTATATGCCATATCGTACCACCAACGGTGTGTCCAGCGTTGTATGCGGTCAGCGTAAGGCCGTTCAGGGGTGGGGAAAATGGCGACGGAAGCGGTTGGTGTGGTTGTGAGTATTTCAGAGGGTGTATCAAAGAGAAATACCGGGCGATCTCTTCGGCGGTAGGAGGTTGGAGGAGGATGCGCCCGGCATGAGTAGCTTCGGCGCTTTCATCGCCTTCGGCCACCGACGCTGCGGCTGATGCTGCGGCCGTAGAAGCTCCAGGCTCGGAGATCGAGGCTTTGGGTAAAAATGTTGCGGCCAGCGGAGAAGAGGCGTATAGATCCTGTAACAACGTGCGACCGAGCGCAATGACGGGACTCGTAGCGTAGACGGGAATTTGCGTGAAGAGAGGGAAGGTCTTGCAACAATGGGCAAAGGCACCGATATGAGCGGGTGTAGCGTGGGTTAGAAGAATGAGCGACAGGGTCGGGACATGTCTATCATTATCATATTAGAAGACTGGCTCCTCCAGATATACAGGACTGCAGTGGTAGCTCACTTTTCAAGTTCCTGCAGGTCGAGAGGATCAAAGGTGTCATCCCAACCGACGTCCACAAGAATCTTGATTCCTCCATCAAGCTCGAGAATCGATTGTGAGGCCTTCGATGACGCAGACTGCGCGCCGAGAAGGGGGGTAAAGGTGAACATCTTGGCTTGGAGATTCTCGTGCGCGGCGATCCCAGGAGAGCTGCAGTTGAGGCTGTCGCGGAGACTCGGGAAGCGCTCTCACTTAGCTCATCGATCCAGACGGGGTAACGACGAACAGATGCGCGACCAGTTGGCAATTATCGTAACATATCCAGACTATTGAGCAGTTTTCACTAATATGAAACAATGGCTGAATGCGAGGACGTTGATGCCGTTGATTGTTTGGTCGACATCGGCAGACACAAAGCAGCATCACATCACGGGTCTTGTTTGTCCGGTTTGCAGTACTCTCTTTATCGGGTAATCATAATGCAGATCATTTATATAGTACTATTTTCGAAGTATACAAAGACACAAACAATAACAAGCATGGTGAATAAAGCTACAAGACATGCTAAATACAGAAGAACATATGCTTTGCCCCATTTACTTCAACCTTTTTTAGTCGCTTTTGCAGCCTCTTTCCCCTGGGACCTGGCCATGGCCCGCGTTCGCATTCGCCGCGGTGGCGATGCTGGTTCTGCTTCCCCTGCTGCAGGCCCCCTTGATGCTAATGACCGTACTGAGCGTGTCGATCGCTTTGGTGCTGCTGCGCTTTTTGGTGCTGCTGAGCGTTTCGGTACTGCTGATCGTTTCGGTGCTGCTGATCGTTTCGGTGCTGCTGCGCGTGCTGGCGCTGCTTCCTCTGCTGCAGCTCTTGCTGGTGCTGGTGGCCGTGCTGCGCGCGCTGAGCGTCTTGGTGATGCTGAGCGTGCTGGTGGTTCCGAATTCTCCGGTTCTGTAGCCCTTTTCCTCTTCGTCCCTTTCGCTTTTCCCTTCTTCGCTGGTTCCACTTGTACTGGCGCCGTCTTGGGTAGCGGAGGCGGAGCCCTAGGTATCTGCTCAAGCTGACCTGGAGCCAGAGCAGCATGCAAACTGGTTGGGCTCACTCCGCCCCAATTTCTCATCCGGTGAAGTATATCTTGAGGGTAATATTCGTCGTAGTGATCATGCATGTATTGCGTGCTGTCATTTACCTTGGAAATTATTCTTGGAATGATTGGTCCCTGAGCAGATGGTCCCTGAACTGGCGGTCCTTGAGCAGGTGGTCCCTGAACAGGTGGTCCCTGAACAGGTGGTCCCTGAACAGGTGGTCCCTGAACAGGTGGTCCCTGAACAGGTGGTCCCTGAACAGGT